CTTTGTATTTTAATTTTAATTTCAGTATTTTAAAACAAAAATCAAATATCCACTCAAATTCTTGTTTTTTAAATAATCGTTTCTAAAATAAAAATCCAATGACCAAAAGATACACTGACCCTGAGAGATAGAAAAGCAAATCTACCTGTATGCACGTTAGGACAAACCCTGATATTTGAGGCATCTTTATGCATTAATGGTGCCTTCTTGTAATGTTGCTCTTAAAGATAAATCCCAGAGATTCAACTGTTGGCAATGTCTCAAAAAAAAGAGAGTCTCCACTTTCTTCCCAAAGCTGGCTGCTTCAATTCTGAACAGATTTAAAAAAATAATAATAATAAAAATAAAATAAAAAATCTAACAAAATAGGCAGGAGATGTGGACATTTCAAACCTATTTTGAACTGAGTCAATTTCCATTTTAAGTTAGTTTCCAGAACTTCTAAAGAAGTAGTTTCCAACCCTGGTCCTTGAGGAACACCATCCTGCATGTTACAGAGGTTTCCCTGCTTCGACACACCTAGTTTGTATGAATGAGTGATTAGCAAGCTTCTGAAGACCTGCTGAAGAGCAGGGAAACCAAATATTCAAGACAGCGGCCCTCRTGGACCAGGGTTGGGAACTACTGTTTTAACTGTAAGTGGACACCTGCTCAGATGCTGTCCTCCAACAGAAAGCATCTGAGGCCACAGCCCTTTTTGTTCCAGTCAAAAACCCAAGCCAATAATAATAAAAAAAGAAACTAAAATCAGGTTCTAATCTCTTCATTGTTCTACCCATAAACATGAGGGTGGGTACAAAGTGGGCAGAGGCAGATATGATGTGGGAAAAGTTGGACAATAAAATAATGTGTGAGGCCTAGAATGCRGTCTTGCAAGTCGTTGGTCATCAGGTGCAATAGCAAAGGTGCTATTTAGCAGAGTCAATTTTGACATGCTTGTTGCATAGTGAGGTCGACTGATATAAATACACATCATACATTTTCATAAATAAAAGGGAAATATTTGAATGTTTGCTGCTTTCACACCTCCTTGACAGAAACGTCATCAGCAGCAGGTTATCAGGTCAGTACCAGCATGTGAACTGATACAGACTTCCAATTTCTTTTCTGACTACACTGAAGATAGTTTTAAAACAAAAACACCAAAGCTTACAGTTATGTCTAATGCATGTGACAAAAACAGAATATCGTATAAGAACAAAAGATCAGTTACCATTCTTTCCATAAAACTGTTCGTCTTCAGGCATGTTGAAACTCCTTTCTTCAGCCAAGAGGTAAAATGCAAACAACTTCCCAGCTCGACTTCTCCCCTAGCTGCTAGCGTAAATGACTAAGAGAGAAACGCATGTACTGTGGTTTGAAAACCAGTTCAACCCGTCTCTGAATAGCTCACGCCTGACGCTGCACCTTACAACACACTTCCCCCCTGCTTGTTTGAGCACAAACAACTGCTTCTCTCCAGTGTGCACCACCTGTACATAACACTGCCTCTCTTTAGCTCCTCCCTCTTCCAGAAGCCCTCAATAAAACACGCCTAGAAGAGTATAAACTTCTCCACAGGGAGGGTGGGAACTGTGCAGGGAGAAGGTGGAGATGGTTGTTTGAGGTGAACTGTGTGGGGATGTTTCTGGGGAAGGAGCCGGGAGGAATGGGTGGAGGAGGAAGACTGATTAGTTACAGGTGTGTGTGTGTGTGTGTGTGTGTGTGTGTGTGTGTGTGTGTGTGGTGTGTGTGTGTGTGTGTGTGTGTGACTGACTTGCAAGCTCTCTGAAAGGTTTATGAAAAACTGGGTGAAAGTTGCTGAGAGGCAAGTTGTAGTTTCAGGTGTGTGTGTGTGTGTGTGTGTGTGTGTGTGTGTGTGTGTGTGTGTGTGTGTGTGTGTGTGTGTGTGT